TAGCGAAAACGACTAGCCCGAGAATGTGTAACGAAGGACGGTTATGATGCGCGTTGTCGCGCTGGGGTAGCGCCTTGTCGAGTCTTCGAGGCGCTCTGTCTGGCGGGTCTCCCCGCCCCTGCTTCAAGTATTGCGCTGTTAGCTCGTTGCCGAGCGGTTGGTGGTAACGCAATGATGAAGCGTATATGGTACCAGTCTGGTCGTCTAGACGTCGTACCTCTCGTGTTGCTTCTTGCTCTTGGATAGATCCTCGTAAACGTACTGGGAGTGGTGGCGCAGGGTGGTAGGTAGTCACGAAGATCGTGCCGAAGAATATGAGGCTAAGAAGAGCAAGAGCTGACCACACGAGAGTGCGGCCAGCTCCGCTACCAAGTCGAAAGTGAGCCTGGTAACTCAAATAGCATCCGATTCCATGATAGACATCGGATGGCAAATAGCGTCCATCGCTCTGCTGTGAAAGTACAGTATGAGGGGTGGACGGATAAGATAGGATAAGATCGATGTAATGATCTTTCCAGCACATAGCGAACACTCGCGGTGTCCGGGCAAATAGGGCGCGCGTGCCTTGGGCCAAAGGCAACGGCGCGCGAGCTATGCTCCCGATACTGTAACATCTCCCAAAGAGCTACCCTTAAAGTCAAGAGGCCTCCAAGTGGCCTCCAAGAGGCCTCACAAGAGGGCCCCGAGAGGCCAAAATCCTAATTTTACGATGGTTTTGGAAGGATTTGGGCCTTGTCCCCTTTTCGACCATCCGATGCTCCAAGACGGCCCAAGAGGCCCCCAAGAGCGCCCCAAGACGGGCCAAGAGGCTTCCAAGAGGGCCCCAAGAGGGCCCCGAGACGGCCCAAGAGGCGCCCAAGACGGCCCAAGACGGCCCCAAGACGGCCCCAAGAGGGGCCCAAGAGGGGGACCACGAACCGAAACCTCGCGCCTTCCGCCCCAAGAGGGCCCCAGGAAGCCCCGAGAGGCCACCAAGAGGCCCCAAGATGCCGCCAAGAGACCCCCAAGAGGCCCCAGGAGGCCCCCAGGAGGCCCCCCAAAAAGGCTTCAAAAATGCCTCCCAGGCGCCCCCGAACAGCTTCTCAAAAGACCCCAAGAGGCCTCCCAAAGAAGCATCTTGACGACGACCCAGTTTGGCCCCAAGAGCAACACAAGATGCCAATAAGAGGCTTCCTCCTCCGCCCCTTCCTCTTCCTCCTCCTCCTACTTTTCTTCATCCTCCTCCTCTCCTTCCCATCCTCTCCTCCTCCTCCCCTTCCCTTCCCCATCCTCATCTTCTTCCTCCTCGGCGGCGCCACAATGGCCCCGGGCCCACGGCGAAGCAGTAGCGATCATGCAACATGGGCCGGCGGAATGAGCGAAGCGATTGAATAAAACTTCCTCATCGTCCTCGGCAGCACCATCGTTATCATCATCGTCAGGATCATCATTGCCATCGCCACCTTCTTCATCATCATCATCATCATCATCATCATCATCATCATCATCATCATCATCATCATCATCATCATCATCATCGTGATCATCATCATCACCATCACCACCACCATCACCATCACTATCATTCACCACCACTCATCGCAAGTCATGGTCATCATCATCGTCGATGTCGTCGCCCTCGTCACCCCTGACACCATCATCGTCATCATGATCATCATCATCATCATCATCACCACCATCACCATCATCATTATCATCATCATCATGATCATCATCATCACTACCAGCGCCACCACCACCACCACCACCACCACCATTGTCGTCGGCAAGTCGTCGTCACCATCATCACTCGTCCGCTCGAGTCCTGGATCTGCATCAGCAGCGTTCGCGAATCACTGCGCTACTTGGGATTCGCGAGCGACTGCACCCACGGCCTGGGCAGTTTTGCCAAAGAGTTCCAGGTGGGTTGGTGGAATGCCTGCTCGAGCGAGGGAGGTGGTCACGCGCGGTACAAGTGAAAAAATATTCCTTTCTAAAAAGAGAATAAATAGACTCTACCCCCCCCCCCCGGACTAGGGTCCCTTGCAAAAAACACTATGCAGTGACATGTGTTGTTCTAACATCGCACTTTTTCGCGAATCCCTTGCAAAAAATGAGACGAAGTGCACACGCGCGCGTCGTCGCGCGCGCATGCCGGAATCCTTCAAAAACCTTCGGTTCCGGAGAGATTTCAAAATTGTATTTCCGACAAGCATACATTCACACATGGTTTCGCAACACTGATTTGCTAAAAAAGCTTACGCGCGAGCTCTTGCGAAATCGTAATAAAACCACAGGTTTTCCAAGATTTTCACAAAATGCTACCAAACGGGCTTCGCGCACGCGCATGTCGAAATCTGTCGAACACCCTTGCGCGTGTGCCGTGGCGAGATTCCTCTGCAAAAAACGGGACGAAGTGCAGACGCGCGCGTCGTCGCGGGCGTATGCCGAAATCCTTCAAAAACCTTCGGTTTCGGAAGGATTTCGAAATCGTGCGTCCAAAAAACCTACAAAAACACAAGGTTTCGCAACACGGGTTTTCAACAGAAGTGTGCGCGCGCGCTCTTGCGTCGTCGTCGTCGTCGTCCTCCCTCCTCCCTCGTCGTCGTCGTCATCGTCGTCGCCGTCGTCGTCTTCTGTCTTTCCTCGTCGTCGTCGTCGTCTTGGCGTCGTCGTCGCTTCCGTCGTCGTTGTCGCCATGGTCGTCCTTCCTCCCTCGTTGTCTTCGTCGGCGTCTCGTCGTTGTCCCTCCTATTTCGTCGCCGTCGTCGTCGTCGTCGTGGTCTTCACTCCTCCTTCGTCGTTATCCTCCTCCCTCGTCGTCGTCGTCCGTCGTCGGCGTCTCGTCGTCGTCCCTCCTATTTCGTCGCGTCGTCGTCGTCGTTCGTCGTCGTGGTCGTCGTTGTCGTCGTCGGCGTCGCCGTCCTTCCTCCTTCTTCGTCGTTGGCGTCGTCGCCGTCTTCCCTCCTCCATCGTCGTTGTCGTCGTTGTCGCCGTCGTTGTTTTTTCTCCTCCCTCGTCGTCGTCTCCGTTGGCGACGTCGTCGTCGCCTTCGTCGTCGTCGTCGGCGTCGTTGTCGTCGTCGTCGGTGTCGTCGTCGTCGTCGTTGTCGTCGTCGAAAACATTGGAGACGTCGTCTGTGTCGTCGCAGTCGGTGTCGGCGGCACCGTCGTCGTCGATGTCGCTGTCGTCGTCGGCGTCGGTGTCGTGGCCAAGTGCCATGTGGTACCTACCGTCACGGTCTTGTCTGAAGAGGTCTTGCGACCAAGTTGCGGGTGGGAGGGTGGGATGTTTGCACGAGCAGTGGAGAGGACAGCTTCAAGACGGTCAAGATTAATTGCACACGATAGAACGCACCACAACGATAACTCCACGTAGTTTGCAGCATGCAGCTTACACCACACAGAGTGCACCAAGGATAATTTGCGCCCCCACAGCTTGCACCGAGTAGCTTGTCCTGCATTGCTTGAACCACACACCTTGCAAAAAGTTGACTGCATCTCTCACTGATTGCACCACAGGTGTTGCACGCTGTACACACGGGAAGGCCCAGCAGGACCGGCAGGACTGGAAGGGATCCTTCCCAGGGCGGTCCCCTGCCCACACCCTCGCCGCGGCCCAAGCCCTACAGCAACAAAAACGCCCGCGTCCGGCCCTCGGCGACGCCTGGACGTCTGGGGCATCCCCCCATGGCAGACATCCGACCCGCGGCCCCACCTGGGGCGAGAGTCCTGGCCGGGAGGACGAGGCGGATCCGGCCACGGCGACGATCGACGGCAAGCGAGGGGGGGGAACGAGCATGAGAAAGCCTTCTCCCAAGGTGGCGGGGCTTCTCGGAAGCCCTCCGGCCTTCTGAGAAGTTTCTTTTATGCGTCTCTTCGGGTAAGGCTTAGAAGACTTCTCAGAAGGCCCGGAGGCCTTGCGAGCCTTCTGAGAAGGCCAGCCCCTTCTCGCTTCCCCCCCGGCTTGCCGCCGAGACGAGAGCTCCCCCCCCACTGGGGCGCGCCGCCCAAGGAGTCTCTCCAGCGCGCCGGGCGCACGGTGGGGACGACGACGGGGGGGCGGCGACGACCAACACGAGGTTCTCTCCCTGTTGCTCGTGGAGACCAGCGCACGGTCGGATCTGGGACAGAAGAGCACCCTTTCAGAACATGAGGCCCTCCGCCAGCCCAAATGGAAGAAATTCCGAGGGTACCCTCCCCCAGGATGCACAATGACCACCCAACAGGCACCAAGAGCATTAGGGCACCCTCCCCGAACCGACCTCGATCCTATACCTCGGTCCGACCGCAACAGAAAGGTCCTGTCAGCCTCTGCTCTAGCTGCCTGGTCCTCTGGCCTCCGTGGGCGGGGGCGGCAGCGGCGACAACGGCATGGGGCGCTCCTTGCCTGGGACCCTGCTGTCCTGAGAGGGAGGAGGAGGAGGAGGAGGAGGAGGAGCAGGAGGAGTAGGAGGTGGAGGAAGAGGACGAGGAGTTGCCACCGCCAACGTCATGGGAGGGCTTCGGTGTTCGGCAAAAGTGCGAAGCCCGGTAAGCCCGCCCATGCGCCCCCGCGGGCAGGCACCGAGCAAGCCGGGGGAAGCAGAGGAGGAAGGGCGGCAAGGAGCAGCAGCAGCAGACGGGCGAGAGGACGAGCTCTGAGAGGACGCCGCAAAGCCTGGCCCAAAAGTTGACGCACATAATGTTTGATGCTCGTTCTGGGGACCTTCCCGGAGCCAACCGCTACACTCATGCGTCGATGCTGCGGCGAATGCTCGTCGACTCGAGTCGGCCTTGAGTCGGCCATGAGTCGAACTAGAACCGAACAGATCCGTAAGAGGGGGCCCCAGGAAGGTCCCCCACAAACCAGCATCTGGCAGTGCGCTGGCGAGGGAGACGCGAGGCTGTGCGTGAGAGCCCTCTGCGAAGGCCAACAGAATCGAACAGGTCCGTCAGAGGGGGCCCCAGGAAGGCCCCCCAGGACCAGCATCTGGCAATGCGCTGGCGAGGGCTGGCAGCTCCCAAAAGCACGGGCTGCGCCTCGGAGCCCTCCTCGTGGGCCAGGAGCCTCTCCAGGAGGTCCGGCTTCTGGCCCTTGCTCGGGAGCCCCCGCTCCTCGCAGAGCGCCTCGCCGCCGCGCGGGGCGTGCCGGTCTTGGCAGGCCAGCACCCATGAGGGGACCGAGCCAGGAGAGGACGGAGAGGGGGAGGATCGAGGGCTCGATTGAAGGCGAGGAGATTGGATAGGATGGGAAGGAGGCGGAGCGTCCTCAGGAAAGTCTGGTCTCCTTACCTTGCCACTCTACGGGCCCGTTGGGCCGAATTGCCTCCAGCAGGGAGGTCCACTGCTTGACGCGCAGCCCTGGCAATCGATCGATAGGATGGGAAGGAGGAGGAGGAGGAGGAGGAGGAGAAGGAGGAGGAAGATTTTTTGAGGGAGAAGATGGGAGCGCACACGATGCTTCAACAGGGAATGTGGAGCAGCCCTCAAGCTGGACAATGAACCCTGGCTGGCCTGACTAGGTGTACCGACCTATCCGCGACAGCACGCCCGGAATTCTGACTTCAAGATCCTGGTGAGAATTTGACCTATGCACGACCAGCTGTGTGGACATCCCCATTTGGCCTAATCACCCGAAAAACAAAAAATCAAACACAGTCGTACGTAGGAGGGAGGGGGGGAGCAGAGGAGGATGGAGGAGGAGGAGAAAGGGGGAAAGCCAACTGGCGTCTGATGCGAATTGGCCCTGACACGTATCGGACCCACGGCTGTACGGGAAGTTGCGCGGAACCTACTGCACCAGGGCCCAAACGACCACAATCAAAAATCCAGGGCAAGATGAGAAAAGAGAGAAGGAGGAGGAGGAGGAGGCAGGAAAGGGAAGTGGAAAGAACGCCAGGTCACCGCCAGAGGCTCCACTGGCGGGCCAACCAAAACTCGAGCAGTACTGACAGGAGCAGTCGAAGACAAGGGGAACTGAAGAATGTGAGTGGGTGTGTGTGTGTGTGTAAATCTTCGGCGGCGCTCCGACGCCACTAGAGGCGTCCACCCCTGCGGAACAGAGGGGCAGCTGCACCTGAGCGGGCGGGCGCCCCGAAGTGGGCCCAAAGCCCACGTGCAAGAAAACCAGACACAATTCAAGCATGGACAGCGGACTGGCACAGGAGGAGGAGTAGAAGCCCAAGGAGGGAGAGAGAAGATACACATGCGCTCAGGAAACACTCAGGACATCGAGTACAAGATAACCTCGACCAACAACTCGGCGGAGGTGTATCTCCGGCGGGAAAACAATGTGTCCGACGAAGACCTCTTGAATCCAGGACGAGGGAGAAGGCGATGGGGAGGAAGGGGTCGGTGTAGTCGCCGTCGTACTCGTCGGGACGGACGCTCAGCAACAGCCTCTCGTGGTCGTCGTAGTGGGCGGCCGCCACTGTTGCCCTGGCACGCCCCAAGTCCAGTAAGAGCAACTTCGCATGCGGCCAACGCCCAGAAAACCCGCAAGCCGCCTGGAGACGGACACAACTGTGGCACGCCTCGTGTAGCAATCGGTACATGTATTGCGAAGCATATGTTGAGTGATCCGTGGAAGTCTGGCCATGTTGATGGCGCACGCGGTTCAGAGTACGATGCAAGACATAAGTGGATACGGCTTGCCGCATCAACGTATCATCGTCCACCGGCGCGCCCAACTTGGTATGCACTAGACCATGTTGTAAAATATCCAGGCCCCGCCGTCGTCGTTGTCAGCGGCGTAGGACCGGACGAGGAAGAGGAGGAGGAAGAAGAAGAGGAGGAGGACGATAGAGGGACGCGCAGAAGCCATCTGCAAAGGCCACTCCTGACCGCGACCCTCGCACGGCAAAAAACAGCTCTCGCCTCTGCTGAGCAGGTGGACAGGCGGAGCGGGGGGAGGGGGGAGGCCGGAGGCAAGGGTAGAGGGGGAGCGGGGAGGGGGAGGGGCAAGCTAGGTGCGCTGGCGTCGTATCTGGCGTCCTGCCCCTCCCACCCATCCCTTACCATGGCGCAGATCTCCCCCCTACTCGCACGGCATAGCATAGCATGGTGTTGAAGATTAACGCATGGCATGGCATAGCATGGCGTGGCGACGCCCCAAAGTGAGGGGAGGCGCTTCTGCGGCCCACCAAATCAAAGAATCGACACCGAATGTGTAATCATTTCCGATGGATTCTTCGGGAAGTCGTTTTTTTTATTTTCGGGCCGAGTTGGAAGGACCGAAAGCCATGCCGTTGCATGGCACTGGAAATAATGACGCCAGCTCTGCAGCGGGAGCACCATTCCGGAACGAGCGGAAGCGCGGAAATGAGGCCAGCGCTGCAGCGGGAGCACGATTCGGAATGAGCGGTAGCCCGAAAAATGAGGCCAGCCGATTCACGAGCATCATTTTGAAGAGAAAATAAAACAACAAAACAACACAACAACACAACAACAACAACACACAGCAACACAACAACAACAACAACAACTACAACCTACAATACAACTACAACAACAACGCACAACAACAACAATAACACAACAACAACAACAACCACAACAACAACAACAGCAGCAGCAGCAACAACAACGACAACATTACCATCAACAACAATAACAATAATAACGACAAAACAGCAACAATAACAACAAGGACACAACAACAACGACAACAACAAAAACAACAACAACAACAACAACATCAACAACAACGATAACAACATCAACAACAACGGTAACAACAATACCAACAAAACAACAACAACAACAATAACAATAACACAACAACAACGACAACAACAACAACAGAAGCAACAACAACGACAACAACAACAACAGCAGCAGCAACAACAACAACAACAACTACAACAACAACAAAATGATCGGAAGCGCGGAAATGAGGACGCGTAGCCTGACATAGCAGGGCGTCGCGACGCCCCGAAGTGGGGGGGGTCGTGGGGGGCTTCTGCGGCCTAGACAATCTACGAATCGACACCGAATGTGTAATCAATTCCGATGGTTTTCTCGGAAGGCACTTGCTAGATCTTGGGGCCATTTGGAAAGACCCATGGCGCTGAAAATAATGACGCCACAGCTGCAGCGGGAGCACGATTCGGAACGAGCGGAAGCGCGGAAATGAGGCCAGCGCTGCAGCGGAAGCACGATTCGGAACGAGCGGTAGTCCGAAAATGAGGCCAGCGATTCAGCGAGAGCAGCATTTTGTAAAAAACCTGCGCGGAAGCGCGGAAATGTGAACGCGTAGCCTGACATAGCATGGCGTGGCGACGCCCCAAAGTGGGGGGGGCTTCTGAGGCGCAAAAAAACAACAAAGCGACACCGAAAGTGTATTAACGTCCGATGGTTTTTTCGGGAAATTCTGTTTTAGATTTTCGGGCCTACTTGGAAAACCGAAAACCATGCCGTGGCATGGCACTGGAAATAATGACGCCAGCTCTGCAGCGGGAGCACGATTCGGAAAGGAAGCGCGGCAATGAGGCCAGCGCTGCAGCGGGAGCACGATTCGGAACGAGCCGTAGCCCGAAATCGAAGCCAGCACTTCAGCGAGAGCAGCATTTCGAAAAAAACCAAGCGAAAACCCGTTTCCGGGAAATCCTGCATGTAAAAACCAGTACGCGGAGGGGGGCCGGCCGTTTCCCGGACGCCACAACGGGAGAGAGGAGAGTAGTATTCAGATGGTTTAATTGTAGAGGGGGCGGGGAGAGGGAGAGGGGAGGGAGAGAGAAGAGGGGATGGGGGGAGAGGGGACAGGGGAGGAAAGGGGAAAAGGGGGAGAGGAACAAAGAACAGGTGAGATGGGAGGGGGGGGGAGGGGGGGGGGTGTGCGTCCTTGTACAAGCAGGACCCAACAGCCCATTTCCCAACCCGATCCTCCGCCAACACCCTCGCCCACATCGGCAGATCATTCGCGCGCGCCTTTTTCGTTATATTGTAGATGGCGCCTGCGATATATCTACATATGTCTATTTGTATGCACATACATAGACACGTACAAACATGAACATACACACATACATATACATATACATATACATATACATATACATATACATATACAAATACAAATACAAATACATAGACATAGACATAGACATAGACATAGACATAGACATAGACATATACATATACATATACATATACATATACATACACATACACATATACATATACATATACATACACATATACATATACATATACATATATATATATACATATGCATATACACATACACATACATATACAAATACATATACATAGGCATTCACATCTACATATACATATACATCAACATCTATATATACATAAACATGAACATCAACATATACATATACATATGCATAGACATATACATATACATATACATATACATATACATATACATGTACATATACATGTACATATACATATACTTATACATATACACATACATGCATGCATATATATATGCACACATACACATGCAAACATGCAGAAACGTATACATATGCATATACACATATATATATATATGTATATACGTATAGTTATATACATATTCATGTGCATATGCATATACAAATACATATACGTATACATATACATATACATATACATACACATACATATATACATATTCATAAACATATACATGTACGTATACATATACATATACATATAAACATACATATACATATACATATATATATACATATACATATACATATACGTATGCCTATACATATGCATACACCTATTCACTTGCATATACATATACATAAACATATACATATACATATACATCAACAGATACACATGCCTGTACATATACATAAACATATACATATACATCTAAATATACATATACACATACATATACATATATATATGCACATATACATATACATATATGTAAAATAAATAACAGACAGACAGAGAGACAGACATAACAATACATATTCAAATGCAAATACAAATACCTATACAAATCCATATACAAATATAAATGCAAGTATGGCTTATGTATCTCGTTATATTAAATTATTCGAAACACACCACCGAAGAATGTACAGACATGCATATGTAACGCAGACCGACCTACGCACTGCAAAATTGAGCATATGCATACAAAAGCA